TTAGTTTTTGCACAATATTATGCTCTTTCCTTAATAGTAAGCCTTTTCTTTTTGTTGTTTAGAACCAGAGCTTCTATTTGATTTTCTTTGAATAAGCACTGACGAAGAGCCTCTTTCACATCTTTACAAGTCTTCTAATTCAGTAGCATAGTACTAAGCTTATCAGCATGAGCACGTAATTGAAGCAGGTTTAATTCAGCTGATAGGTTATATTTATTGAAAACCTAATTCAAAATAGAGATAAAGCTATTAGTTTTGGGTTTTCTAGTTTTTTGAATAGTTGCTATGATTAATATGTAAATAATCTATATCAATAAGTAGAATATGATTATATATTAACCTACTTATTTTTTTCAATTCAAAATTAATTATCATGAGTCAGTATATATACCCAAAATTGAATGAATTGCTGTTTGAGTAATTTTATCAGAAAATAGATGTGAACAAGATACAAGTTCGATCAGACACAAAGTGTTATTTTTTCTGAAATAAAGTCTTGAAATCCATAGCATTATACAATAAAATTACCAAAAATATAGAAGGCATCAAAGAGGATATAACATTATTTAGACACATAAGTACCATTTTTCCAAAATAAGAGGTCCTAAAAAAAATAATCAATATATATGTATGATAGATATATGATTAGACTTCATGTATAGAATCAGGAAGTCAAATATATAATTCTTAAATCTGATAATTTGTACACATAACTCATTCTGCTTTTTTCTGTCATAATTATCTTTACTTTTATATTTTCCTATATGTTTATTGCATGCATTATATTTAGACCTATTTGACTCATCACAATCTCTACAAGGAGTAGGTATTAGAGAATTATAATGAATATAACATCTTTCTGATTTATTACATCGACCACAGATTTTTCCAGTTCTATGAATATATGAGCAATAGTATAATATCATCGTAATTATATATAATAATTACTTCAATCAAATATATAATTATTTTTGATATCCAGCTAAAATTTCTAGAATAATTAATTTTATTTTAAAGATTTATCTACCAATTAATATAGTTTCAATAACATATACTTTTTGTCAGATCAAACAATGCATATATACAAATCAATCAAATAAGTTTGTCTAGTGAAGCAAAAAAATGTTTATGTAAATCATTACATCAACAGCATCTAAATCAAAAATTGGCCGAATATAATGAAGAAAAAAGCTTTTCATAGGTTTAACAGATCTTAACTATAAACCTGGCCATAGAAATCATATGTATTATAAATATTTGCTTCCATCTGATAATAAAAATGATATCACACTTTTGGAAGCATACCATTCTGAAAAGATTTATTTTTAACATATTATCCAGATAGAAGAAAAGGGCTTTACATTAGTTGAACATCCTTCCAAAGTTTATAAAATACTTGATTCCCAAGAGTATATTGACAGAAATCAACCTCTTCACCCAATACTTGATATTGATACCAAACAGAAACCTGATCCCACTAATTCTGAACTACCTTCTTTAGATAGTGAAAAAATTTCTCGTGAAGATTTAATGTCTAAAATATTGATTGCTTATATAGATGCATTAAGTCTTATACCAGAATGTATGCCTTTCTTGCAATCTTTTGCATTAGCAAGTTCATCAAATACTAATAAATGCAGTTGGCATATTGTTTATTCTCATACCCAATTTATTGACTATAGAGAACTTAAAGGCTTTATGAAAAAAGTTATAGAATTAGTAGGAGAGCTATATTCTAAATTCATTGATGTTGGCCTTCCCAAATCACATTTTAATCTTTGATTACTTGGATAAGCAAAAGAGAATAGAGTTAAAAGACTAGCCATTTCATCAGTTAAGAATGAATTCAAAAATCTAGAAGACTATTTAGTTCAACCAAAATCTAATTATTCCGTGATTTGGCCACAAACCTTTTCTGATGAGAAGCCAGCAGAAGAGGAATTTAAACTTATTGATGATGATGATACTTTGGTTAAAGGAGCTAATTTAGTTATTGAAAAATATGAGTGGCTCCAGATTGGAAGAGCTAAGAAAGGGTTCATCAACTTTCAAGTACGATCTGTTAAAGAATACCCTATATGTGATGTTAAACATGAAAAAGACCAACTCTACGGATTTATTTGAAAAAATGAACATTTTATACTCAAGTGCTATTGGCAAAAACAATATAAACCAGATCACAAAGGCCTTAGTTTCGATAAGGTATCAGATAAAGTCGAATCAGAAGTAAAACTCAAGAAGTGGGGATTAATTGAAAGATTGCTCAAGGCTGTAAAACATCCACGCCCACTTGTAGAATTATCTGGAAATAATATTAATGTTAAGGAAATGGAGAATGCTCCAGAAGCTTATTCAGATTTCATGAGTGAGGAACCTACTACAACCCTAATTCGCTCACCCATTGCTAGTGGAAAAACAAAAACCTTAAGAGAGATTCTTAATTCTTTAGCTAAAAGTAAAGCAAGTTTACCTTGTTTTAACTAGGTTTCATATCGTAAAACTCTTAGTAATGAAACTAAAAGTAAAATCGAAGTATTACAGAAATCCAAGCTTTGCGTGTGCCATTATCAGGAAAATGAAGGTAATTTAACTATACGTAACTGAGATGTTATTATTGTTCAGGTCGAAAGTACACATCGTCTTAATTTTCATGGGGGTCGTTCTCATGTAGTTATTTTAGATGAAGTGAATGGTATTATACATCAAATGGCAAGTAGAATCTATGCATGAGAATCTAAAAATGCTATGCAGGATTTGTTAAAGTCAGCTGTTCACGTGGTTGCCATGGATACTTTTGCAAATGAGTCAACTTTAGCCTTTTTAAGACAATACTGGGGTGAAAACATCTGAGTTTTTGATAATAAGTATCAGCTGCGTAAAAGTGAGACTGTAAAAATCCTTTATAATTCAAATAAAGGTTCAGAAGCTATACATAAAGGTCTTGAGATGCTTAAAGAAGGTAAGCATGTTGTCTTTTCAATGACCTCCTGCAAAAAGGCTCAGATAATAGCTAATCAAGTATCTAAGTTGCAAAAACCAGATGGTTCATATGTTTTATTATGAGTTTATTTTAGTTAAATAGATAGAAAACAACGCCAGGATGACTTTGCTGATATTAATGCTATCTGAAGTAGCCTTGATTGTGTAATCTATACAAGTACTGTAGAGTCAGGCATCTCGTTCAAAATTCCTAACTATTTTGATGCAATTATAGCAATTAGTAATATTAAAACAAGAGTACACGCTGAAGTATTTACTCAGATACTTTATCGAACTCGTAATTGCCGGAGGTGGGTATATCATGTCTAAGGATTGTTTAGAATTATTTGATTGATTTTGAGTTGATACCAAAGAAAGCAATTGTGACAAATTTATTACAGGCTTCTCAACAATACTATTACAAGAACTCTTTTCACAAATCTCATTACTGGATGATTCAGAGCATCGAAGTTTTGCTTCTTCTAAAACGGCGATATCAGTAGTAATGGGTATTGAATTGAAAAGTTCTTAGATTTTATCAATCGATTCCAACTTATATGATAGAATAATTGGAGCTATAGAATAATAATTAGGAATACGTAACTTTGAAGCTATTACTTCTTCTTAATTTTTAAAACCAGCTCCTCCATATAGTCTACGATTAATCTAATAAGTGTGTTTCCATACTTGATATCCCTTAGAACCTACACGAGTTGCATCACTCTTAATGGTATAACTACACCAATTTCCTACTATTGCATTAATCAATTTTATTGTAGCCTTGAGATCGAACAATCCTTTAGCTCTGGTCTTAAAACTGAAAAGTAATAATGTATCTTCCTGAATTTTAACAATTTTTTCCTGTGATTGCTCAAAAGTTTTAGCTACATCATCACCAGAAAGAATATTTGTGTCATCTATATCACTGAAGCCTATCGATTGGACAAGATTATGTACTGCTTCTCACTGCTTAGCTGAATAAAATTTATGCAAATCAACTGAGGACGGATCTATAGATTCATGTGAATCTTCCTATTGCATTTCTTCTTTGATTTTTAGATTTTCTATAGAATTTATTGCATTAGAACCTTGCCTTCTGAAATATG